TTCCTTTGTTCAGCCGAACAATGGAGATGGAAGTTTTAAGAGCAAGTTTCTTCCAATAAAATTTCAACATATCGATCGATTCGAAATGTCTTACTTTTCAGCTTTTTAATGAAAGTATTTTTTTACTTATTTGACAAGGATGAGATAAATGTAACTTAAAGATTACTATTTATACCGGTTAGTCGTTTCTTTCATCAAGGCATATTTAAAGATTTTGGAAAAGTATAAATGCAATTTGGTTGTCCTCATTAATACTTATCGAAATGTAGAAGAACTATTTTAAATCGGACCATTTATTAAAAAGTTATGAGCAAAGATAATAATGAAATGCAAGCTGTGCAAGCAGTGGCTTTGCTGCATGCATATTTCCATCTCCTTCGCACTTTCTTTAGCTGAGTAACGGGTATCTCATAGTCGGTGTACTCGACTACAGAGTTATATTTTGTTTTTAAATATATAAAACGGTTCTATTCCAGAAAAATAGAAAAACCGTTCATGTTAGCTGCATAATTGTTGCATTTTTGGAAAAATTCCTAGTAGTAAACTGAACTGCAGGTATGGATGGCTTGGCAGAGGTGAATAATATTCAAAATACCTGGATGGATACCCCGCCCTTCAGGCATTTCGGAGTTATGTGCAAGAGTCTGTTTCTATCTTTAGTTGTATCGCTATATAGCGTTTTACCTGGCTGGACATTCTTTTTCCCTGGCATTCCATCCATCGTGGTGCGCTTTTCCTCTGCTTTCCTTTCCGGCACTCTCTGCTCTGCCGCTTTCCCGCTGCATCCATTTATTTTCCACTCTCGTGTCGCTGCCGTCTGTCACAGAGCCCCCTGTTTTTCCCCTATTTTTCCACCACACACCCCATCCATTTCCACCGCACACACGTACTATGCTGTACTGTGTGACATGTGCTTCCTCTGTTGTATTTTTGAGCGCCCCCCTTATTTTTTGTTCCCCTGTTATTTTCCACATGTGAAATTGAACTTTGCATCTTGCTGCGACGCGTCGCAACTTCAGAGATACAACGAATGCAACGAAATTTTCATTTGCCCGCGCCGATGTTGCACTTGACTTGTGGCGCTTCTGCAGCAGCAGCATCTCCATGTGCAGCACCATATCACCCCCACCCACCATCCCTCATTGCACCACTCCACTCCACATGGTGGGGCATCCATTCTGACCGCCTGGCAGCGCTTATGACGCTGTTTTGACACTGCGAACGCGCGCGTGTTTATAAATAAAATATATATGGAAATATATATTTGTGAAATTTCTCCACGCTTCTTTTGCTCCGTGGATGGATGGTTGTTCGCTGCAGCACATGTGCTGCACCCTTCTGCTGCTGCTGCTGCTGCTGCTGTTTTTCCTTTGAAGTTCATAAAAATTAACAAAAAATCAATTTACAACACAAACGATGCGCTGATGAGGCGAGTGAAGTACAAGAATGGATGGTATGGGATGGTTATATGGTTAGGAGTGCCCTTGTAAATGTTTTCATTGCAATCGAATGGGCGCTTAGTGACGCCGCCTTTGCCTGTGATCTCTAAACCGAAGCCACGCCCACTGTCCTTGGGGTGGTTCTTTCGTTCTTACGTTCTTACGCGGGATAGATGTATGAATATATATGAATATTTTTTGCGAGCGTGTTGATTGCCCATCAAAGCAAAGCCAAGGCCAGAGGAAAAGCAGCAGGAGCACAGCAAGAGATTTGCATAGAGCATAGAGCACACACCACCATCAGCAGCACCGGGAAAATAAATCCCCCTAATACCAGAACGTTTGTATTTCTGTACACTACAAGAAAAAATGAAACACGATCAGTTCAATTGAAAATAAAAATAAGAAATATTGGTAAAACAAAATAGGATACAAATTATAATTATCCAATCCAGTATCAGAAATTTAATATAATATTTGTCTTATTTCTCATTTATGTTTTCCAATCAAAATAATTCTTTAAAAATATCAAATGAAAATAGCAAAAAAATTGTCAACCATAATTATTCGTAGTTAATTGATGTTTCTATAAATATATCTATTTTGAAATCAATTTTGGAATGTCACGAATAAACACCAATTAAGTGAAAGGAGAACCAATTTCGATTCTGTATTTTTCCCTCGTGCAGTTGTTGCTGTAGCGTCAGCAAGAACATAAAAATAGCGACGATTATGATGAAAATATTCATGCGACAAACGGAAGCCATATCTCCTGGTTCTGTTCCCTCCCAAAACACGCGATGTGCTGGGAGTTGTTTATGTGCCAACGATACGCAGCACATTTGGATTCCACTTAAGGCGTCACCACTGTTTGTTGTCGACTCTCCAGCTCTTCAGCTCTCCAGCTCTATAGAGCTCTACCTATGTGTGTATTTTGGCCAATGTGCAGCCGGCGGCTATGGAAAAGCCCCAGATACATGCCGAAATTCCTTTAGCCGGATCAATAGGAGGCACTTGAGAAAGCTAGCTGCGAGAAAAGCGCCTTTTCCGTGGCTATGCAAAAACCAAACCCCGAGCTGTAGGATTGCCGCTAATAAAGCGGCAAACGTAATTAAATTTAATGCTCGGGCTGCTCAGACAAAAGCCAAACAGCCATGACGTCTAAATCCGAGTATTGAAATTCAATTTACTACAAAGTCCCATGCATCGCTGGGCTCGACGACAAACGGCGGCGAAATAGAAAATGCTGGAAAATGTGTGTGTCTCGATTTCGGCAAATCCTGTCATAAATTTCAGACGCCTTTGGCATACCCAACTCATCCCAGGAATGGGGATTCTGTGGGCCAGGCTTCCAACAAAGGAAGCCGACACGCAGACGACCCCAAAAGGAAAATATGCTGATGTCGATGCCGAATTATGATTTGTTTTTGTCGACTGGCCGGCGGGCAGAAAGGGGCGGCATCAGACTTTTGGGGAAATGAGATTTCGCCCAAGGTTTCCGAACAACCGACCAACTACAACCAGTTGAGACGGCGCTCGTAAAAAGCAGCAGGCTCCAGGTTTTCCATCACCATCGAATCCTCGAAAGCAGAAAAGCAGACCCAACACATCCTCGACCTCGCAAATTATAAAGTTGTTTGGCCAAAAGTGCTGACGCCTCTCGCACGATGGCTTGCAAGTTTTGTCTTCGCTTTTTGAAAAATGTGCCAAAAGCCAAGGAAAAGCGAAGAGAAAAAACTTCTGCACGTTTTATCTAACGCACATTGATAAGGATTTTTGGCAGTCGTCGCATGATTTGCAAGTTTGCACAAAATTCCTCGGCAAGATGAACGTTTTGTGCAGACGTGAGCGAAAATGCGATGACCTCTTGGCATAGTTTGGCTGCTTTTAGCCAGGATTTACATCCCGATGATCAAATCAAGTGGCCAGCGCCGGCAGCTCATGGGATTGCGAGCAGGTGTTGGCCAGAGAAAGAAATGAAATTGGGGTTAGAGGAAAAAAGGCATCTAAATTCAGGATTAAACATCCTGCATCTGGATTTTAGCAAGCGTTAAGTGGTCAGCACCTTATGGTAAACTATGCACATCTTGTGATTTTTTCTGCAGATGTAGGAGATCCCAAAAAATATAATTTTCATATTTATCATGAAGCTTTCTTTAAACCATTTTGCCATAACTTTCTAAGGCTGAATAATTGTTTTAAAATAATTTCAAAAAGTTTAAGGTCCTTGGATAGGGTTTAAATAAATATAGAAAATTTCTATATTTCTATTAGAAATCTCTGTTCTTTAATTCTTGTTGCATTGTAAATCCCTTAAATCTACTTTTTAAACCAACAAGTAACTTTTGATATTTCTAAAAATATCCCCGGACTGCAAAGTCATTATACCCGTTACTCGTAGAGTAAAAGGGTATATTGTATTCGTGCAAAAGTATGTAACAGGTAGAAGGAAGCGTTTCCGACCCCATAAAGTATATATATTCTTGATCAGGATCACTAGCCGAGTCGATCTAGCCATGTCCGTCTGTCCGTCTGTCCGTCTGTCTGTCTGTCTGTCTGTCTGTCCGTCTGTCCGTATGAACGCTGAGATCTCGGAAACTATAAAAGCTAGAAGATTGGCATTTTGCATGCAGATTCTGGGAGTTCCTACGCAGCGCAAGTTTATTTCAAAAAGGTGCCACGCCCCCTCTAACGCCCACTAGCCCTCTCTATCGCCCACAGTTTTGAAGCTATTATGAAAATAGTAACTGATATGTATTTGTTTCGTCAATACATATCGATTGGCCAAGTAAAAGTTTGCCACGCCCACTCTAACGCCCGCAAAACCCATTTAACGCTTAAACCTGTCTAGCGCCTACATTTCCGCCTTTCATGGCCAGTAGTACCAATATCTTGGGGTAGATGGCTCAATTCAATATACAATAGCGCCATCTATTCAGATGGTTAATTTGAACTTTTTGTCCTTTTTTTCTGTGGTCACACTAATTCACAATATGTTATTGCAAATTTTAAATTATTTGAAAAGGGCGCGCATTTTGTCTCTTTTTGCTCGTATTCGTTTTTCACAAGTGCATTCACCTGCGCTAGAGAGAGACGGAAGATGTGCTAGGCAGAATTGAAAGTTTTAGAAGGCCTCCACGTGGAGTTCCCTGGGTAAAAAACGGGAGCTAATTCCAGCTTCGAAAAACAAAAAAGGAGGCATATTTCTATTAAGTTGTTTAGCTGTGTAACGGGTATCTAATAGTCGAGGCACTCGATTATAGCGTTCTCTCTTGTTTTCTTTTCGATTTCCAGCAAATATTTCTACATTTTAAACAGTTTCTATTGTCTGACCAAATCCTAATGACGAGCGCAGACCATAACGAGCAAGACTTCCCTGCAATAATTCGAGGGGAAACCGCCAGCTCGTTACTGCTGGGAATAACTGAGTTTCGGGACCGAGTTTCTTTTCAGTCCGAGAACTGAGAACCGAGAGTCGAGTGCCGAGAAACTCCTGCCAATCGTTAGCTGTTATTGTTATTACACGTAATACAGTTGCTGGTTGTCGGTGGTTGTACTCACTGTTCTTTTGAAAATCCTGCGATTCCTCGTCGGCCAAAACCGATTTTAGCTGCTGCAGGCAAGTCAACAGGGCCAACGTCAAGCCGACAGCCCAAATCGTTTTCCCATTGTCCGGGCATCTCGTCCGTGATTTTCGATGTGTGTTGATGTTGCTTTGGCAGTTGCCGGTTTTCCTCTGCTGCTGCCAATATGTCGTTTGCATTGCTGTTGTTTCGCTGGTTTTTGCTGGCATTCCGCTTGTTGGTAATAAAAGCTGTAGCATGGCTGTAGCTGTCATTTTGTTGTGCTTGCGGTGCGTTGTGCCAAACGCGAGGACGTCTCGTCATTTATGTGGCAAACTTCAATTTGACCAAAGTGTCAAAGAAACGCAAGAGGAGTACGAAGAAAAAGAGGAGAATGTTGCAGTTGCAGCTGGCAATTTGCGTGACCTGGCGCCAATAAACACGCGTCGCCTTGTTATGGCCGCACGGCTATTTCCGCTTCCGCCGTTTCCCCTTTAATGAAGCGCCAATGTACTCGTGGCCCATAAAAAGGGCATTTCCGCAGACATTTACGAATGCATATCCCTGTGACTCAGCTCAGATCAAGTCCATAGCATCGCTTAATGTGCTTTTACATGTTTATTCGCCGCTTTTATGGACATTCCTATTTTTTTGGCGGACTGTTCAGGGGGAATCCTGTGAATAGAAAAGCAAATGTGGAAACATGAGTAAGTGCTGATTGTTTTTGGGGGGAAGGTACACAGGGAAAAAGGGATAAGAAAGGGATTAAAATATATTTTACTCATTTTTAGCTTTTAAAAATTATTAAGTAATATTTTAATATTACTTCTTTTATTTTTATCTTTATTTTTTAAATATTTTGTTTCGTTTTTTAGTAAGTTTTTGCTTCTAGTGTACTGACAGAAATATGAAAAGTGCTAATAAAATGTGTATACATTCGTAGCCAGGCAAATTGGGATCGTAAAGAGCTGCTGGCCGAAAAGGGTACGACCAGAAGTCGAATAAGACTGACTCACAAAGGAGTTTACGCCGAATCGAGGGGAGTTTCACTCCTCGGAATTGGTTGTTTTATGTGGCCATCGCATCGATGAAGTGTGATTAATGGCGCGTTTCAATGTGAGACGCGTAATTAAGGCTGTGGATTTATGTGTTCGGTGGCAGCTGAGCCATGACCTTGCCACCCCCATTACCACCAACTCAACGCTCATCTCTTTAACCCCCGACATGTCGGCCCATAAAATCGAGCCCTCGAGCTGAGTGCTGCTTTATCACCTAGCCAAATGTTGCTGCTGCGCCTTTTAATTGCGTGTTTGAGAGCAGCACGAGTGTCGACAATTAAACAAGGCATCAAAATTGATAAGCCAAAATACTAGAATCCACCCCCATCCTCACAACCCCGATGAAAACTGCTCGTGTGTCAGGGTTAGTTGGTCCTTAACGCAATGGTGTTGCATTAATGAGGTGAAGACGATCCAGGTCGCAGTACCATTTACCTTAACCCAGAAAAAACACCCACGCTCGCTTAATTATGCAACATTTTGTATCGGCAACCAGGCGACAACTTGGCTTCTTTTCCTTTTGTATGCGTGTGTGAGGCTGTTTTAATGAGCAACTGCAGCCTATACACACAAACACACGCAACAAGGAGTAAAAATAAATTATATATAACTCTCGCGAAAAAGTTCATAAATTTTTATGATGCCTTTTGATTAAAAGATAATAACTTGAAATACAGCCAGCGAGTGTGTTTTTTTCGGGGGAGGAGAGTCTTCTTTTGCACAACACCCTGTACTTTTGAAGGGTTTTACACTGAGAAAAAAAGAGTAAGGTTTTAATTTGTCAGATTTAGCGATTAAAATAATTATCTACATGATATCTATACAATAGCTACATTTGACACTCACTGAAATTTACAACTTGTAAAGGTATTAAACTTTAAATGATATTTTCTTTCTTGAATGTAGTTAGTGTTTTCCCCCAGTGCACCTATTTTTCATGTTTTCTTTATTCCCTTTTTTTCTTGTTACCTGCCCATAAATTAACCTGGCTGAGAGGACTGAGGCTATTGACAGTCAAACTTTGCTCATTAGTAAATTTCCGACAAGCAACGCATGTTTCTCCATCTGTCTGCTCCAAGGGGTATATTACATGATATTATATCATATCATGAATGTATATATTTAGCCCTATAGAGTCAGCTGCTTTCCCTGCCCTTCTAATTCGACCCGTGTCATTCGGTTAGCATATTTTATTGCTGATTAATTAACTGGGTGGAAAAGAGGACTCCGACTCGCCGTTGCATTGTGACGTTCGGGCCTGAACTTTAATGACACCAAGTGGAAGATTTGCTAATTAAAAAAGTTTCGCCAATGCGAACACGAAACACGAGAAGGCAAATGAAAGAGATTTTCCCCTGGCCAGAAGGGAAAAGTTCTGCTGCTGCTGCCAAGTATCGTGTAACTATTGCCAACTACTGACGCTTAAAGCCCCAGTTAGTCCAAGTTAGGAGGCATTTACCGACAAAGAATTAGTTGTCCAATTTATAAGGAATTGTGTGTCGAAAATAACACACAGTTTGGCCAATCTGGAAAGCCGGCTGATCTGTTCTGTTCGTTAGTTTCGTGTATTTTGGTAACTGCCAGCCGCAGGCAGTGGGCATGTCCATTTGCTTATTTGCCTATTGATTGGTTTTCCTGGCCAGGTGCTACTACGCCCACCTATCAGGCATCAGCCTCAGCCGTCTCGGCAGATTTTAGCCTTGTCAAATTACCACAGCTACTCCATCATCGTTAGAGCCCCTGCTTCACCCACTCGAATTCATCCAGGGATCTTAGGGAACTTGGAAACCCTGCATCCCGTCATCAGGGCTCACAAATTTATGGGCAAATGCTCAACTTTGCCATAAATGTTCATCATAATGTGACACAATTTCCTCAAGATTTAACGCCGCATAAAAACCCAAAGAACATTCCCATATGGTAATGCTGGATGGGATGAGATGGGGTGGTTGCCAAGGATTGAGTGTGGGAATGGGTGTGAGAATTCCCCCATGCATTGTGCAATCCACATGCTCAATAAAGTCAAAGACGCATTACTCTCGGCGTAAGCGGGCGTTGGCAGATGGCATAAATTTGAAATAAAATAATATAAAAATAAAATATAATATAATATAAATTCAGCTGCAGTCAGTCAGTGAGGAGCAGCAGTAGCAGCATGCAGGCGACAGATAGACGCAGTGTGAATTTAACTGACAACCTCCCCATCTTATCGGCCAGCTGGGAGCGGGCTCAAAGGCTTCCCCGTGCGAATATGCCAGTGAGCGAGTGTGCCAGTGTGTGATATATCATAAGCATGCGTCTGACAAGCGTAAGTACCGCCGCTGTCACTGTCACAGGACTAACAGGACCAACAGGAGCAGCAAAGGCAGCAGGAGCCGCAGAGGCGGCAGAAGCGCCGCAAGAAGCGCCAACTCCTCGGCGTCGACGCGTGTTATTACACCATGCGGCATACTTTTAGCGCCACTCAAAGGACATTTCACTGGCATTCTGAGTGTGTGTCAGGGCGTTCACTGAGCGAAATTGTGCGAACTGTTCTTATTTAATATGTTTTAATAAAAATTGTAATATTTTAATATTTATTAGTATGTTTTTTTTGCTGTATCTTGGTCAAATATTGTCCCAAACTGCTTTAAACAGCAAATATTTTAAAGAATTGCTTCCATCACTTTTAAACTGATTTACTGATCTCTTTTGGGTGAAATATCAGGATTTGGGGTTTTGGTGTAAACTGTGTTTTTAGTAGTATTTTATTAAGCTGCCACTAATCTAAAACTTGTCCCAAATCTAAAATATTATTTTAAACAACTAAGAAAATAATAAATTGATACACATCGCATTCCAAAAAATCTAGATAGTTTATTTTTTTGAAACTTAATTACCTAAAAATGTATTAAATAGATAGTAAATTGTTTCTAGTTCATGGTATAAATCCTGTATACTTTACGAGTATTGCTACTCAATTGCTCTCAATAAAATACCTCATCGAGGTCATTCTTTTTGACAGTGTGCCTGTTTGTGTGCATAAATAAATAAAAGTTGAGTTATGACAAAAGGAGCGAGTAGAGAGTGGCGGAAGCCAAGAAAAACCTGCCCAGTACGGCCTGATAATGCGCTTGGCGGCGCTGACTTGCCGTTGACTTGGAGCGTGTGTTTGGCTGTGGCGCTGTGTGCGTGCGAGGCGTTTAACATGTCGTATGCGCAATTTGTGAAATATGTGAGAACAGAGCCTGCCAGCATGAGCAATAAGTTCTCCTTCTGGCCCTCTGTGCGTGTGTGTAAGTAAGCAATTAGTTGCCTTTTCAGCTGAAATAAAAGCAAATCGGGTGAGTGGAGGGCAAAGAGGCAAAGAGCATAGAGGAGGATAAGCAAACAGCAGCTCATTAATATCCTTTATGCGTTTATTACATCAGCAGGCGGCGTCTTATGAAAAAACATAAATTAATGCAGAACATCGTCCGCAAGAGCGGGCAGAAAAAATAGCAATTAGGCCGTTGGCAAAAGGCAGTTGGTCGAATCAATCAGACAATTCAATATAATTGGCCTAATTTATTTGCCCCGCTCCGCTTGGTTTCTCTTGGCTTTCGTTCTGGATGATCTGAATATATTCCCGGATAATTGGCAAGACGAAATGCAGCATTCTGTGTAATGAAAATTAAAAATTAATGCTCAAAGGTGCGGCGCATGCAAAAATGCTTTAATCAAATCCCAGAGCACGCCTCTTCGGTCAGAGTAAATATTTAATATGATTTTTTTCTCCTTTTATTTTCCCCGTTTTTTTTTGTTGCGTGAGAGTATATGTTTTATTTTTTCACTTGACTCTTCTGTTTAAATAAATATTTGCCGTCGAGGCAGTGACCTTTTGGCCTCAATGCGTCCTTTGCATTGATTGAAGTTTTCATTTTTGTTGTTCTCTGTTATTTTTTATGTTTTCCCCATAGAGATGTCCGCACTCACTGGATTCCAGGCTCCGAGCTCCGAGCTCCAAGCTCATGTTTGGGCAGTCGGCCAAGGCAAACAAAGGAGCAAGCTCTATGTACGTACATTATGTTTCTATATATACGAATTTATTCATGTGTTTATAGTGGCCACTCCAATTTTTCATTCTTTCATTGAAAGATTACAGTCTTTGATTTTACTCGCCTGCTTTGCAAGGCATTTAAAGAGAATTTAAATCAAAATTAAAGAGAAAACTGCAGAAGAAGCTCAAGAATTATCCTTAGAAAAGTAAAGGAAAGTTTTATAAAAATAATGTTGAAAAATATCTGATATATACGGACGAAAATGTCTACTGAAAAACACATACAAAATTGGTAGTGTTGGCAAAGCAACGCTCTGGGTATTAAAATTCAATTTTTAGGACCAGAACACCTGAAGTTTAATTAAAGCTGAGGTAGTAACTCACAAAAGGTTCAAAAAGAGGGACAATGGGCCGAAGGAATTCACTTTATCTCTGTGCTTTCTGCTGCCTTGGGCAATTTTCCTCTGGAATCCGGAAATCACAAAGGGAAATTACATAAAAAACTACTCCATTTGACTAATT